TTACAAAATTTGCTAGTTTTGCCCAAATTTATAGTGCCGGCCTGAGTTAAATTTAACCGGTTAATTAACCGGTTAAATAAATTTTTAACCGGTTATTAACCGGTTAAGGATTTTTGGGCCGGTTCCAACCTCTATAGTATCGAAAATTCATACATATTAAAAAAAAAAGCCGCACAATACATACATTACTAACCGTACCATACAGGTTTGTGTAATACCCGAAACGATCTTCGCATTTGGGAAATCCCAAATGCACATATCGATGGATACCCGAAATGCTCATTTCGGACATTAAGGTAAAATATTAATTACTCTATAACGATCTGTATGAAATAAGCGAAAAAGTGAGAGAAAAGTTAAAAAATTTGTTTTTATAATCAGAAGACTATTAGGATTTCCATTTTCACCAAGAAAAAAAAAATTTACTTGAAAATTTTTAAATAATGTTTGAGAATGAACATTTAGATGACGATGCTATAGCTCTCAAAATGACAGCAGCAATTACTTCCGGCGTGTCAATACCATTTACAAGTTTTGCCCCTCTTTTTGCATCTGTAAATGAAATGTTTAACGAAATAATAGAAATAAATCAAACATCAGAACATGATAAAAAAATATGTGGGATATTTGTTGTTAGAGTCCAATTAGCTGATACGGTCGTAAATAAGTTTAAAAGTCGTAGGGATAACGAAGAATTTTTTTCAAATGAAAGTTTATTTAATTTACATAATTTTAGTAAACGTTATTGGTAAAATTCGTAAATTTATTGAAGAAATTTCTCAGTTAAGGGGGTTATCCAAGCATATTTATGCCAAAAGAACTAAAAAATGTGTTAAAGAACTAACGAATGAATTAGATTCTATTATAAAAAATATACAACTTTCTTTTAATGAAGATTTAATGAAGGTAACACATGATATAATTTGATCTTTATGAATACTTGTAATCTTATTTTATAGATCTCTTACTTCTTTATATAGTACAGTGAAGATACTGGCAGCGGTATAACTAACGTGAATCAAAATGTCTCTAAAATAGTTATGCAAATTAATTCGCTTAATACTACGCTGAATCAACTGGCGAAGAAAAATTCAACAAACCAACCATTCCAATTACTTGATTTTAATGATTTTGAAGAAGTAGATATCTCAAGAAACGGAAAAATAAGAAAATACAAGAGAACAAAAAATGGATGGAATGATTATGTTGCTTTAAAGTTAGTGGTTGAAAAAGAAAGCAGTGAAGATGAAAGAAAATAATGTTAAAAATCAAGTTACAATCTTAAATAATTTGAAAGAATGTCATTATATTATTAAATATTATGGAATAATTTCGAATTATGATATATTTTATTTAGTTACAGAATGGGCTGATTATGGCAATTTACGTGAATATTATCAAAAATATGGTCCACTAGAAGTTAGTCTGAAATTAAGATTTACTCGTGATATCGCTAGGGGTCTAAAATTCCTGAGCGCTTTAAGGCAATTTTTTTATTTTATTTATTTTTTATTTGTTTTGATTTTTACATCACCCAAAAAATTAATAAACAATTTGTAAATTTGGGATTACTCATCTCAACAGATCATTCATCATGACATAAGAGCCGAGAATATCTTAATTACCGATAATGATACAGCGAAAATTGCAAATTTTGATGCAAGCCGAGCAATATATGTTGAAGAATCAGGAAATCTAAAATCAACCCTAGAAGTAGTTCGATATTGCTCCCCTGAAAATTTATTGTCTAAAAAAAAATATAATACCAAGTGTGAAGTTTATAGTTTTGGTATTCTCCTTTGGGAAATAGCCGAAGAAAAAATTCCTTATAAGAAATTTGGTGATGATATTATTAAAATTACTGATCAAGTTTGCAACAAGAGATATCGTGAAGATTTTTCGTTTAATTCGCCTTTCCCAGTTGAATATTGAGAACTTGCAAAAAGAGGTATGGATATATCTATTATTTTAATTATTAGCTGTTATATTAATACTAACTTCTATAATTTTGCTATTATGAATCTATACTAGCTACTCATCATGATCATATACTAAGACCTCAGTTATCAGAAATCTCTAAAATACTACAAGCTCTTTATGAATTTAGTAGAAAGAAACCAACATTTGGCATGACAGCGACATTTTCTTATGCAGAAACTTCGACTAACCTGATACCATTTGATCTATTTGCACAAAATGAATCAACAACTTTTCAAAATAATCAATCATCTTCACAAATTTGGATAGAAGACTCGATTGAAAAAAAATTTATTTAAGAAATAAAATTGGATGATTTAATTGGTAATTTTCCAGTCGGTTCGGGACATTCGGGAGTTGTATATAAAACACATTGGAAGAGAATGAAAGCAGATGTAGTTTGTAAAATATTTAAACAAGACGATGTTAATGCAATTCAACATGAAATAAAAATACAAATTAGAGGACACGTTTGTGACAATATTATTCGTTTTTTGGGAATTACTCGTGGTATGTAAAATAATAAAAAATTTGATTATATGGGTCATTTTCTATTATATCCAGTTATGATACGACAATATAGCAAACCGTTCATAAGGTTAAATATTAACTTGATTCTTTTGAATTAATAGATCCAGAAAGCAAAATTTATTGCATTGGTATGGAATATGCTGATGTGACTTGCGATCTTATCTACAAAAAAATTTTCGAACACTTGAATGGAATGAAAAGTTTCGGCTAGCCTTTGATATTGCAAATGGTTTACATTATTTACATTGATTGGATTAACATATTGCATAGGGATCTTGTAATATCCTTTTTCTAATCTTAATGTTTTGTCTATAAAAAAAAACAAATAAAACTAAGCTAATTAATAAATTTATTTTTTAGCAATCAAAAAACGTAGTGATACATAAAGGATGTGCAAAAATAACTGATTTTGGACACTCTAAAAGTTCGGAAACGCAAACAATAATCCACGATAAAGCTTTTGGAATGCTTCCATATATGGCGCCAGAATTTTTAAATACTAATAATCAACGTCCACCATATTCAGTTAAAACCGATATTTATAGTCTTGGATTTTTATTTTGGAAGATATCAAGCGGACATCCACCATTTTCAAATAATTCAGACGACTATTTATTACATTTTCAAATTATTAAAGGAATGAGAGAAGAAAAGGTTCCTGATACACCAGATGATTATTGCGAACTTTATAATTCCTGTTGGGATAAAATTCCAGAAAACAGACCTAAAATCGAACATGTTTATTTATGGTTAAAAGATATTATTAACTCGCATAGAAGTAATGAAAATGGTAATATTTTTATTTTTATTTGTTTTTATTTTTATTTTATTTAAATAATTTTAAATAACCATTATTTATCCACAAAACATTTAGTCATAAATAATGCACAACCCACAATTAAAAATCAAAAAGATAATGAAATTGAATCAACTGTGTGTAATTTACTTGAAAAGAATAAAACCACTTAATTTAAAAGTTCACTGTAAGATTACTACCCCAGAATCTGAAGTCACGATTTATAATATCGATCATATCGGATTAATTCCTCTCCAGTCATTTTTATCGGTCTTGTTGACCGGTTTAAGATTGATGATTTGTCAAAGAAAACAATATAAATTGTATAATTAATTTATTTATTTAAATTAGAAATAAAGATAAATTTTTTTTAACGAATTTTCGCGAAACCTATATTTTCGTCTTCGAATGAGATGAGAAGTATGAATTATTAAAAACGATCTGACTCTAAAACTTCTCATTTCTAAGCATTAACTTGATACTTTATATCATCGGTTCCAACACTCGAATTGTTTTCGAATTGGTCATAATTATTTATCTCGAAATCGAAGTCACTTGTTATATCAATTTTATGCATTAACTTATTATAACATGATATTAAACTCCAGTGAAAAATCACTCCTACACGATTCATACATACTATATTACATTACAAAATAAACGTACTTTTAACATTTTATACAATATTCTCGTTATGGTGCATTTTATCTAAATCACAATCACGTGTTCAAATTTTTAAATTATATGATGTATAAAAAAACAACCCGATAAAATGGAAGTTTAAAATATAAGCTACAAATCTATCTGTTATAAATTTCCGCAGTTATTAATATTTGGCATTTATAACTTGCGAATAGTATTTCGTTCCCACCAAACTTATGGAAATGGAATAGCTATGAATAATCCGTTAAAAATTTGTATTTTGCTCAGGTCATCGCTAAAAAAAATAATTGGCTTATATTCCAATGAAGCAAATATGTTTCTTCCAGATATCATTATACAAAATTATTTCTTCTACCTGCAGTTACATGTTGGGTATTTTCGATACATGTAGAAAAACAGAATCACAACGTCTTCTCGTGATTTCATGCTCACGATGGTAATAATAAATTCCTCTATGAGGAAGCGGGTTACTGGATATTTAACACGTTATCATGATTAATCGTCGTCACGTTGATAGTGCTGGCGTTAAAGGAAGGTAATTGATGATGATGTTGTGATTTCAGGAGTAAATAGAATCTGGTAATATATTCTTGCTTTGAACATACCATGTGAGAAGACCTTTACAAAAAAAAATAATGTTACTTTACTAATCTTGAAAAACTAACATTGATTTCATGATCCGGTTTCATTCATCTCAATCATCGATATTCTGGAAAAAACGCTTATATTTATACGAAACAGAGATAAATTATCATCATTAACCTTAATTAAGCCTGCAAAAATTTATGTCGTATGCTTCCGTGATTCTAATATGGTCTTCAAAATTACGAAAAAAAAAAGGATACTAGTTTGCAAGCTCTAATTCGCTTCCATACATATGTACATACAGCCATGACCGAAATATTTTGCGTAATGTCGTCCGGAACTTTCACATTTAATAATTGTAGCATATGTGTGTGAAATTTTCTATTACACAGCCCCGTTATACGATAATCAACTCATTATATAAATTATGTAACTGCGCATTAAATGACATTAAAAAATCACATTTGTTTTGCATGATATATAGCAAATAGTTTATTATTTTATTAATCGTGTAATCGAGTAATATAGAAAATTACAATCAAGATTAAAACTAGCTAATTTTGAATTTTACATACCAAATATTAATTACATATAGCGATTTAATAAACGGGATAATTCAGATTCTTCTCGACGAAACAGCTTCTTTTTATCAGTTACAATTGACATCCCAAAGTCAATAATATATATATTACTTTTTTCGTTAACTAAGATATTTCCTTCTCTAATATCATTGTGGAGAATGTTATGACTATGAATCACCTTTAATGCCTTGAGAGCATTACTTTTTTGCCATTGTTCTATCTTATGAAAACTCAACATAGTACCAACAATTGTTGTACCCATAATATAGCCCATCCCGCCCCCATAATAACCATAACATACCAATTTTGGTATATACATTCCTTGAATTGTAGTAAGACGTTTGTATATTTCGATTTCATTTTGCATTTTATAAAAAAATCTGCTATTCTTATATAGATCTAAAGCCTTCAAGGCTATTGCTTGCCCATAAAATTCACATTGGTAAGTCCCTCCAGTTTGTCCATAGCCTAATGAACTCTTAAGCTTAAATTCTGAAACATCAAAATCCTGCTCCGTAATTTCCTCTTTATCTTGTGGTTGCTGCCGTGTTTCCTGGCTGCCAGTAATCATGGATGACACATTTGAGCCATAATGGGAACTGCTCAGACTTCTAAATACCTGGGTATTCTCAGAGCTTTGCGGATCTTGTTGTAATTGTAAATTTTGTCTCCTACCACGGTTAATTATATTATGATGTGGGGATGTGGGATCTCTTTCTGCTAACTGAGCTAGATATGCATACGACTTAAAAACTGATGGACTGGTCGAATCACATTGAAGAGCATGTGAAATGTGTAACTCTGTATGATTATTTTTTGGTCGATACATGAACCAATGATAATCATAACTTGAAAGTGTTCCGTATTGAAGTTGTAATGATGATAGGTAATTGTAAATTTGCCGAATTACGTTATGTAAATGTCCACTGAAATTTTCTTCTTCAAGGTCTTCATTACTGATTTGCACCAACCCCTCTACAATGATTTGTCTCTTGATTTCGAGTGCCAAGATTTGTCTCCCATGAATCCCATTGTTAATGAGACGACAAGTGTAGTCTGGAATGAAAGGACCAATATTAGGGTCATCCCTTGGGAAGTCAGAGTCCTTCTGCTTCCAAAATAAATATTTCTCCATTACTTTGTTTAATACAGTAAACATATTTGTTTCCATAGCAGTATATACGTTTGTTTCAACGACAATTTTCAGATCTTCATTAAAATGTGGTCTCTCAAATCTCTTGATTTCATCAAAGTTGTGCTGATTTACTTTGTTTAAAAATCCTTCCCAACGTGTTATTCTTGTAGGCCAAACACCACTTATGTTTTGTGTAGTGATCGAAGTACTAGTATCTGGAGGATAATAGACAGATGGCGGAATACATGATAAAACTTCATTAAGTGTAAGAAGTCCTAAAAACAAAAAAAAAGGAATGGATAAATAAATAATAAACATTTGTTGAATAATACGCGAGGCGTACAAACATTAAACTATTTTACAATTATATTTACTTTGTCTATTTAACTCATCAATCAAAGTGCCAAGATTTTTAGCTGGTCCATAAGGAAAATTAAAGGGAGATGCAAGAAACTCATCTTTGGTCATATTAACAAAAGAACGACCATTAACCCTCTGGTTACGAAGTTTTGTGAAGTCATTTTTGTTAAGGTTCAAGATCTTTCTTTGTAAAAAATTGATAAGTTGTTCTGTATTAAGTCCTTCCACATATTCGACCGTGTGATTATTAGACATGTTAAAATTAATAAAGTATTATTAGAAAGTTGTGCAGTTCAGAAAAAAGAAAAAGGTAGGAATTTGGAATATTTATAAGAAATCTAATATATACATCTGAGGTAAATAAAAAAAAAATAATAATAATAAGCAATATTACTGATTCACGCGATTAAATTTCACAATATTTAATATAATAAACCTGTTTCAATTTTTTCTATCGCCAATAGGATTTATAATTATATATTTGATTCATATAAATTGATCGCGATCGCGTCTATTATAATTAAAATTCATTAAAATCTTTATAAATAAAAAATTATTTAAATTAATTATAACAAAATGCATATCATTTAATTAAATATATTACTTAAATCTAAATCTGAAATTTATTTAAATAACTAATAATCAAATTTTAAAAGTAACTTACTTTCAGTAATATTAAAATATTTTTTTTATAAAATCAGCTAATTTAAATTATGTAAAATTTATATATAAGCAAAGTAACTTACTTAAGTTGTAAATTAATTACGAGGAAAATAATAAAAATAACCTACGGTAATTGTTTTTGGATATTGAACAAGAAATGCAAACCATTTGAAAGCATATTTAGAAAGATTTTATCCCCATTACATCAAATATTTTCTATACGTCAGATAATTGGGTTTACTAGATCATAATTTAATCTGGAAGCTCAACTTGTTTTGAATCCCAAGAAAAGATTGAAGAGACATCATCATAAAGAATTACACCTCTAGTGAAAGCATGATTGATCAAGGATGTCAATTTTATCGCTTCACCCCCATGTTCGATTATACTAATTACTATTCAACGTTAAATAAAAAAAATTTTTTTATTCTTAAATAACAACTACAAAAAAACACAGCTAACTCATTAAACGAAATGTTAGCTGAATTTAATTTTATAGATTAGATTAAAATATAATAGAATATAAATATGACTTACAATCTAGACTCATCATTAAAACTTTTATTAAAAAAGGTAATTAATTATTAAATAATTATAGCTGACTTGATAAATATATAAAATTCATTACGTTTAATTCTCTCAATGTAGGGCATTAGAAACTTGTTCTAACATTGATAATTTAAAAAAAAAATTTTAAACATGCTACTGAAAAAAATAATATAATCAACATATTAAGAATATAATTAATGAAATCTATATCATCTAATTGATTTATTCATTATTTGTTCTTATCGTCATGATTGCAAATTATTTTTTTAAAGACAAACTTTAGAATACCGTCAAATAAATTTTTTTAAATGTTGAATTTCAATGATGCTTACCAATTTATGGAATTTGGCCAAGATATTATTAATCTTTTTTATAACTTAGTCTTTATCAGACATAAGTTTAAAAGAAAAAATTTTTTGAATAAAATTTGTCATTACTACAATTGATCAAAAAATGCATTGCACAGCCAATGTAATTTTTTTAGGTGTTGCCCGTGATAAGATGCACTCGGCGTACAAATTTGATTGATTTTCCAGTTTCTTAAGTTGAAAAGAAGAATAATTTTTACATAAATTAATGTTCAGAGTTATAGAAACTTAATTAAAAAAAATACCTACATCGACAAAAAAAGCTCCACGTGGTTAAATTAATAATTATCACTCCCCGGTGGTGTAAGTTAAGGTCTGTTTATTAAAACTATTCGTTACAATCACATGCCAATTATTATATAAGTCACATGACCCGAGTTTTTTGTTGATTATGGAAGATGGGTATGAATAGGTTTTCCTAAATAAAAAAACCAAGTCGTTGATTTATACAAAAATGAAAGCAGTGAGTGACATTGGTGACAAAAAATGATGAAATATACTTTTACAAGCTCATTATGAACTGATTCAAAAAAAAAAAAAATTATTATCCTGTTGTTATTGCGCTATATTCATTTTGCTATCAACCTGAAAAAAGTAAAAATAAAAATAAAAAAAAAGAAATACTTTAAATGATTTAATGAAAAAAAAATAATCAAAACATGCCTAACTTATGCATCAAACCCAAAGAAATCGTCATAAAATAAAAAGTCTTTTATGGAACCGAACAGAAGAGAAATCGAGAGAAACGCACCTCCAGGTTTCATTGACTTAAAGGACCACCACACTTGATTTTTTAAGCCAATCAGATTATTTAATAAATCATTGAGGGAGGTTTGAGAACGGCCTTCAATACCTCGCTTGTAAAGTGCCTAACTTAAAAAGTATCAGGTATTATTTAATCGCAAATGCTAAATTTTTGAATAAGACAAGATATTAATTAATTACATAGCAATTAAGTAAGTTTTATTAGAAAATAGTGCTCTTAAATTATACCAATTAGTCTCTAAACTTCCTACTTCTACTCTTACAAAATAATTTAAAAGTAGTATTTTTTTTTCATTTTTTATTCTTTTTTTTAAATTATTAACCGACCGTATCGGTTTTCTATATACACCGATTCGATTTTCTATATATACCCTATGTTAATGATCTCAATGATATTAATAATTATTGATGTTGCATTCGTCAAAGCGTTCTTGAATAAAAAAAAAAAAAAATTTTTTAAAAAAAAAAAAAAGATTACCTTAATAAAAATTAAATAAGTCGAGAGGAAAATCAGTACGAATCAGTACGGTACAAAATATGATCGTACCGTACTGGTCCGTCCCAATAATATTATAGAATCAGTACAGTTCGATTATAATTTGAAAATTCGTACTGATCTGCAAAATCGTACCGTACTGATCAGCCGAACCGGTTTTCCTCCTCCCTGAATCATTTTAGTACATGGGGCATGTCATGTCACATGACCGATCAGATTTGATTGATTCAATAATAAGTTACCCTTTTTATAACGAAATACTAATGGTACCCTTTTGTATACAAATCGATCGATTTATAAAATTGAATAAAGAAAATCACTCTTTTTTTTTACATTGTAAAAAAAACTTTATTATTTTTTTATCCGACTTCGTTACATTTTATCAAAATATTAAACAATTTATTGGTAAGATATTTTATCTACGATTGCATTGATTCTTTGAATTTAAATTGTGATTATGTTCTAAATTATTTTACAATTGAAAATAAATGTTCATCAAGAGTTATTCGAATCGATTTTTTGGTAACTAACTACGTAACTTACTCATCATGTTTAATTCTTTTCTCTTTTTTCTCCATAATTACTTTCACTCATCTACCATTTTTTTTATTTATTTTTTTTTATTTCGATGATATTTTCAGGAAAGATTTAACAAATGTTCCAAGAGGTCTCGTAAGAGAGTTTGTAGAAAAACATAATGGTCACACTATAATCACAAAAATTTTAATGTCGAATAATGGTATAGCGGCTGTTAACGAGATTAGATCTATTAGAAAATGGGCTTAT